TTCGGTTGCAGCCGAGGAAGTGGGCTGTAGCCCATGAAAGCTTATGCTCTAATAAATTTGTTAGTCTCTAAGGTGCCACAAGTACTCCTGTTCTTTTTGCGGACACAGACTAACACAGCTGCTACTCTGAAAACTGTTTTAATAGTAACTCTCACCTCACAGCCATTTACTATATTTGGCACTTGGGCAGAATTCTCTGGCACACTGCTGTCCACACTCACTCACCTGAATCTACAGGCTCCACAACTACTGTCACAAGTATCATCAGAATTATTAATTCAAAACCAAACCATGTATTGACAAGATGGCAACTTTAAAAGAGCCACAAGTTAGTGCATGGAAGCATATATTTTTATTCATATTTATTTCTATGCTGTCTTTTTTATATTGGTATTTTAGATGCTTTGACATGTAAAGCAACAAGGCCCTCGCCCTAAGGAGCTTACAATCTACTATTTCCCCATTAAATACTTAGCTTATAGTTAAGAGTTTTTAAACTTGAAGGTGCCTTATAAAAGCTAAATAATGAATCCTCACCCACCCTCTGCTGGGAGGCAAGTAAGTAAGTAAAAATTATCTCCATTTTAAGATGTGGAAACTCCAACAATGTGATGTTGTGCAACAAGCCCAGATCACATTGTACGTCTAGAATGTGTTGGCCTGGCTCCCCAGCCTGTGCTCAGCCTATCTCTGATGACATCTGCCTCTCAAACCACTTCAAAGGGAAACTGACACACGCTATTTAAAAGCATTAGCTGTTCTTTATGAAACCAGCAAGACAGGCACTTCCACGCCATTTAAACAATAAAGGCTGCGCGCTTGGGGCCAGCCAGGGACACCGCGCACGCGCCGGCCCAAACAGGGCCATCCCCCCACAGGGGCCGGCAGGCGCAGCGAAGAGAGACGGACGCGAGCGAGCGTGCGCGCGACCCGTGCCGTCCCCAGCGCGGAGCGGGGCGCACCCTCTGCGCTCCCTCCCGTAGCCCACCTCGCCTGACGCAGGCGCACACAGTTTTGCGAGTTCTATTTTTATCGCGGTCTCGCCGAAGAAACGCTCGTTCTCGCCCCACTCGCACTGCGCAAGCGCACAAACCAGTTGCTGGTTGGTCGGAGAAGAGACAAGTGAGTCCCGCTGCACGCTGCCTTCTCTACCCCCGCAGACTCTCGCTTCCGGTCCCTACCTATGCCGGGCCTGTGCCTCCCGTTTGCGCAGGCGCAGTTAGAGGGTCTAGTGGCGGCCCCGGAAGGAAAATGTCTGGCCCGGGCAGCATGGCTAGCGGAGCGGCGGGCTCGGCCGAGGGGCCCGGACCCGTGGACGGGGCGCGGGCCCCGGAGCAGGCCCTGTTCCCGCCGGGATTCAGCGTGTCCGAGATCAAGAACAAGCAGCGGCGCCATTTCATGTTCCTGCGCTGGAAGCAGCAGCAGAGGAAGGTGGGAGGCCGGGGGCGCTCAGGTGCCCTGCCAGGCCTGCGTGCGGGGAGCCCCTTGCTGACCGGGCTCCGCCCGTCCCTCCTCGCCACCCCTTGGGCTGCCTGCGGGGGTCAGAGCTTTGCCCGCCCGGGGGGCGTGTTGCAGTTGCTTGTATTGCAGCACGTGGGCCAGGACCCGCTGGGCTCGGTGCTGTGCAAACAGTCGGGAAGACAGCCCCTGCCCGGAGTAAGGCAAGACCCCGTGCAGCCGCAGACACCCAGGGCAGCACCGGAAACAACGGTTTCGGGGGGGGGGGGAAGGCTTCCCAGTTTTGGCTCTGTCACTGAGTGCATCAATAAAATACTTCCCAGCAAATGGTTTTGAAGCTAAAGTCACTCCTCTCTGTGAAGGGGCCGCGGATGGACCCAGTGTAGAGAGGGGATTCCTGTGCTAAGGCCAGCAGTGTGACAGGTATATGCAGAGCTGCCTTTAACCTACTGTTCCCGGCTAACCAATCAGATGTCTGTCTTATTCAGGAGAAATTGGCAAATAAGAAAAAACGGAGAAAGGAGAGAGAAGCCCTTGGAGATAAGGTAAAAGAAAGTTATTCATAGTGTCCCGTGTGTTACTATTTGTGTCTGTAAAACATTATACATGGTATAATATTCATATCCCTTTTAAAATAAAAAAAATAAGTTTAGTATTATAACTTTTGCAGTTTGATACCTGGAATTATTTCTCTAAACATGCTCTAACAAACTGGGGATAGTGGATGCTTTATAATTTTGTAGCCAGACCATTTGTGATCACAGTGCTGTTCACATCTATCTTTTGAGATGCCGTGAGTATTGGTTAGAATCTAAAAGAGCCATTGTTTAATATTCTGTTGAATTGTGGTATGACTCTGGGCAATAATTTCTCAGGTGGCTCAGCCAAATGAACTGTAAAACTGGGAAAAATCAGGGCCGTCCTGAAAATAGGTTCTAGCCATTTGACAGAATCACTATACAACACTGTGTCTCAACAGCAGTCCTGGGTAAACTGACTATAAATACTTATTTATACTAACTGTGAATAAATTGTATTTTGCTTGTTGCTGAAACCTAGTGACACAGTGGGGGGGGGGGGGGGGGGAGTCTCCACCGTTGCAATGTTTACAAGGAGCTGGAGACATTACTTGTACATTCCTGCACTAATGCACTCTGTATCTAATGCTGCTTTGAGTGAAACAGCCTAACGCTGTGTGATCTTAATCAACTTTACAGCGGATGCTGTGGGTAAAATATTTTGCAGCGGGGACATGGTGCTTTTCTTTCACAGCTACTGGCTGAAGCCTGGAAAGAATGGTGGGGAAGAAAAAAACAGGCTGACACAGAAAGAAGAAACGGGGAACATAATGGGGAACAATCATTTCCTATGAACTTGGAAACTAAGTGGGTTGAATATTGTAGCCATGTGTTCTGCTCCATATATTGCCTCTCTAGTATTAAACTAATGATCTCCTTTCAGAATTAAGGTGATGGTATCACTGATGTACAAACAAAATAAGGCCTCGTCCACACCTAAAATTGAGGTTGATTTAGCTACCTCGGTTGGGGTACGAAAAATCCACATCTGTAAGCAATGTAACTATGCCGACTTAACCTCCAGTGTTGATGCAGTTAGGTCAACAGAAGAATGGCTCTGTTGACTTAGCTACTGTCACTCAGGGAGGTGGCGTTCCTACACCAGTGGATAAGCCTTTTTTTTTTTTTTTTTTTTTAAATTAATGAAGATATCCTATCTCCTAGAAGTGGAAGGGACCTTGAAAGGTCATTGAGTCCAGCCCCCTGCCTTCGCTAGCAGGACCAAGTACTGATTTTGCCCCAGATCCCTAAGTGGCCCCTTCAAGGACTGAACTCACAAGCCTGGGTTTAGCAGGCCAATGCTCAAACCACTGAGCTATTCCAGCCCCCCTTTTCCATTGGTGTAGGCTGTGTCTGTACTATGGGTTTATGCCAGCATAGCTATGACAACATATCTATGCCAGTATAGTCTCTGTAGTGTAGACAAAGAGCACAACTTGTTCTAGATTCTCAACCTTTTTCTTTCTGAGGCCCCATCAACATGTTATAAAAACTCCAAGCTCCACCTGTGCCACAACAATTGTTTTTCTGCATATAAAAGCCAGGGCTGGTGTTGTGGGGTAGCAAGCAGGGCACTTGCCCAGGGCACCATGCCACAGGGAGCACCACAAAGCTAAGTTGCTCAGACTTCAGCTTTAGCCCCAAGTGCTGGGGCTCTGGGCTTCTGCCCTGGGCCCCAGTGAGTCTAACACCGGCCCTGCTTGGCAGATCCACTGAAACCTGATTGCGCCCCTCCCCCCCCCCAATGTGGTCTCAGACCCCTGGTTGAGAACTGCTGTCTTACGGTATCTTCCAGCTTTTAAAGAATTATTACTAAAAACTGACATAAAATACATTACAGAATAATTGAGTCACTCATTTGAATGTGGAATTGAGCTCATTATTTGACTCAGGGCTTGTCTACTTAGCATGGCAAAATGTGCCAGAAGGGTGTGATTTGTAAGAAATTATGTTAATGTGAACTAGGTTCCTTTAGAGCATGCCAGCAGGGTTTACGCAAGGTAGTTAGAGCACAACATATTAAAGCACTTAACAAATCACATCCCTCTAGTGTGCTTTGCCAGCTCCATGTAGCCAAGCCCTCAGTATCAAAGTACAAATAATGCCTTACATTTTATTTTTTTAAAGGGGATTATTGTTGTAATTTATTGTGTTCTTAATAAACTACTTTATATTAAAGGCACCACCAAAGCCTGTACCGAAGACAATTGAAAATCAGAGAGTTTATGATGAAACAACTGTAGATCCTAATGATGAAGAGGTAAATGTATAATCCCTACATATGTGTTAAACTATGATTTCCTCCAAAATGTGCTTTAACTAAAAAAGGACTGATTATAAACTATGAATATTTATTTTCCACTCTTGTGTTAGGGCATTTATGAATTGATAATGCTGCAGATGATGTCATCCCTTTATCATTTAATTTAAGATAATTTCCCATTGCTGAATAACTTCTTATCAAGCTTGTCCATCATCTTATCTCCCATTGTATTATACATTGTTAAAAGCACAGATACAGAATGGGACAGATTGACTAAACAATACAGTATAGGCCAGAACTTGGACCCATATAGAATTTTGCTATTGACTTTAATGGCACCAGAATTTAAGCCAAAGTGGACAATTATTTTTAGAAATAAAAAACTATGTTTTCCCTAGAAGTTTTTTAATTCGCCATATTTATGTTTCCAGGTTGCTTTTGATGAATCTACCGATGAGTTTGCACCATACTTCAATAGACAGACAGTTCCCAAGATTCTTATCACAACATCAGATAGACCTCGTGGGGTAAAATACATTTATAAAATTTAAGTGTAATCTTTAAATTTTTGTGAATCACTTTATGGGGGGTCTGAAAGACTTGGGCAGCTGATTATGGAATAGAGGTTTTCATTTCATGCTTGATGGTGCAACTGGAGTCCAGAAGTGACTTAAGCAACGATCCCTTTGTTGGTAATGGGCAGGGAAACGTCTTAATTGTCGAGTAAGTGGTTCTTCTGTGTCAGGATAGATGTACATTGGCAGTGCAGCATCAGGAAATGTTTACTGCCACTGTCTTAAGCTTTATCTCTTAATTTGATGAATAAGAGACTTCAGTCTGTAGACTTTTAAATGTAATGCCTTTCACAAGCCCTCTACATTTGCACAGTCTTAAAAGAACACCTCCAAATTGAAAATTGCATCTCTATCTGCATTTTTTCTTCCGTTGGTTTACTTGGTTTATAGTCTATTCCTTCCCTTTGATCTCAATCCTGCAATGAGCTCTTCATGGGTAGAGCCCTGTGCCAACACAGCTTTTTATTGCAGGATTGGTGATTTTTGCACAGAGCATAGAAGAACAAAAACCACTTTTTAAAATTAGGAAAATGTGATTTGTAAAACCTCAACTTGTCAAGGGACTTGGGCATGTGTCGTATTTGAAACTACTTTTAACTTTTTTTTTAAAGTGATTTATTTGCAAGCTGACTGTGTCCCTTTAATGTTTTGTTACTGTATTAAAAACATGAGTGCTAGTACTTAATATTAGAATTTTTCCACTTTACTGTGTTTGAGGAATAATGGAATCTCTTAAAAAAATATTTTCTGCATTTTTTGAGTGTCAACACAGAGAGTGCTCTCCAAAATGGAGGAAGCTACTGTCCTTGCCCCCGGGAGTTTATTTTCTAAGTAGAAGATGGACAATACAGTTCAGACCTGGAATGCAGCAGAATATCAGACATGTTTTTCTCTAGTGACTATGTAGTGTTTTCAATGTACAACGCTTTGCTTTGTGTTAACATTAGTAAAGTTAATGGAAGAAATGTTTAAGAAAAACACGGTACAGTAAAAGCTTTGTTACCTGGCATGTTGAGGGAATGGGGGGTGCCGGTTAGTCAAAAATTACGGTTAACTAAGAGTTATACTTTCCAATGGAATACGAATTTTCAAAGAATTAGAATACAATAAAACAAATAAACTATAAAATAGTACTCACCAATCCCGTAGTAGTACTGCATTGCAGAGTGGTTGGTTTCTTGAAGCACTTAGGTGTATACAGGTAAAGTTTTCTATTCAGTAGGTTATCTTATGACACCACATATCACTGTGGGCTGCGCGCATCACGTACACCCAGATCACGAAAAATACACTTAACACTAAAACTATACTGAATCATCAAAGATTAAATTATGTTTAGAAGACACTTCAGGATCTTGCAGTGCCTCAGGGTCGTCATCATCAAAATCAATTATTGTAGATGTAGAAGATATAGGAGATTGGGCTGAATCTGTAATGACCTTATGACACACCCTGGAAGCTGCTTTTTTTGAATAAATCCCTATCTGCTCGCTTACTTGTCTTCTGCCTCTTTTGCATAAAAGTAGAGTGCAGAATGTGCAATTGCATAACCTCCTGAGCAGTATACTAGTCCCGGTTACTTGATTAAAGATTTGAATTGGGAAATATCAGAAATGCTAGGTAATAGAGTTTTCTGATTGATAAAGTGCCAGATAACACAACTTTTACTGTATTTGATGAAGGGGTAGCTTGATACACTTAAAGGAGGAGGCAGTTGTATGAAATGTAACCCTTTTTATGATCTTTACAATATACCCAACAATTGAGAGATTGCAATCAAGGCTTTCTATTGTGCAGAGAACAGTGAGATTCTGTGAACAGCTGTCTACTATCATACCTAACTCACATGTTTACTATCGAAGAGGACTGGCTCTGAAAAGAATTATCCCACAGTGCATCTCAAGAGACTTCACAGATCTGATTGTTATTAATGAAGATCGCAAAATACCAAGTATCCTTCATATACAAGAGGGAGTTTCTTCATAGAGTTATCTGTATTATATGATGAAGATATTAGTACGCTAATTCTGAACAAAGTTAAGAAGAAAATAATTGGGCTATGTAAGTCTCCAAGATTTCTTTCAGATCCTTTATGCTTTTGTCTTCACTTCACTGTCAACTTCAAGTTGATGTAGTGCAATTTTTCACTGTCTCTAGAAGTTAAGAACCAGTATTTCTACTTTTCTACAGGCCAAATATGAAACTAAAGGCCATTTTTGGCTCTGTCTCAAACTGTAACTTAAAACCGTATAAATACAAAGTTACCAGAACAATAACATGCTACTCTGATATCTGCATGCCTCACAGCGCAGGTGCCATAATATGGTTCCATATTGGTATTAGATGTGGCCACATCCTTATATGTATTATTTTTATGTTTGATCATAATGGCATCAATTTAGCTCTTTAAATGGAGGGATATTCTTGGTGAATAGGTAAAGAAATGCTGACTGTATCCGATATACTGGCATTGTATGTATGGCTTGGATTTTTTATCAACAAGTGACTCACTCTTATTTTTCTGAGACCACTTAGTGCATGAGTACACATTCTTATTGCACTACATTTAAGCAGTTTAATCAGCTGCTGGATTTTGTTAATATATGTAAACTTTCATTAAGTTATGTTTATAGTGATCTATAGCAAAATAGAAAATGAACAAACAAATAGAACATAATGTGTTCTGGTTAACTATTTGACAAAGTTTTAATGATACTTAGTATATTAATACATTTTCTATAGTGTCTTTGTGTAAGTATGGAGATTTTAGTAATATGAGACCTTGTTACAGCATTCCCAAGCTCCATTATTGCTGAAAAGAGGGTAGGTATGGCTGTCTTATATATGAAATATAGGTTGTGCAAATTAGAAGAGTTCTAATATAATGTTGACTGTTTCTGTGGAACTCAACACAGGTTTCTATATAAATCACTTTTGTTGTATTCTGTTTAAATTGCATTCTGAACTTCATATATATACCAGCTTTTCTTAACTCTCTGAAACAGATGGACTTGTTTTAAGTCATTTGCCTGATGGTCCAACTGCTCATTTTAGAATGAGCAGTGTTCGTCTGCGTAAAGAAATAAAGGTGAGGTTTATTATTCCCCTCAATAACAGCAAAAAACTAATAAATGCATGATCCAAATTGCTTAGTGGTATACATTTTTTCTTTCACATTTTCTTAACTTTTGTCTACAGAGGAAACTGTTCAGACATGCATGATGTTCAGTTGGTTTCATAAAGATGGTGATGTTGTACTGTTTTTGAGGCAAGGAGGACCAGTAACACTATTTTCTAGTTTGACTTCTATTGCCTCTGCTGTGTAAGACTTTTACCCAACAATTCCTGCAGTGGATTGATTGCTTTGTTTTTATCTCGGATACATTTTTGCACTCATTGCAATAGCATTATATAAAATCAGTTGTATACCAACTCCAAAAGTCTCAGTTCTCCACTTTGTGTAGATACTCTTACTTTGTTTTTTATACAGTGCCATCACTAATGTATAGGAATTTTGATGGTGTACTGGAAATACTGAACTCTTGTTTAGCCCCAACTAGTCTAAAAGCACTGTGCTCTTTTTTTAATGCACTTTAACAATGAAGGAACTGAAATGACCTTTAGTCAATCTGGCTTCATTAAAAGTTGGCCTGGATGGATGGATGAAAGGGTAGCTTTGGAAGCAATTAGACTCGAATGTCCACAGAGACTTTCAAGATTTTTGTGATGGATGAACTGATTTTTTGGGGTAGTGGAATACCTTTCAATATATTAGTGAGGGGGAAATATAGAATGAATAACTATCATTCTCTTCACGTTTATTCAAGAAATTTGTTTTTTTTTGAACAATGAATTAGTAGAATTTTGAGGTCCTTAAATGTTGCCAACTGATGCTGCACTATATATATATATGTTCTTTATGGCATTTAACATGGGGAGTTAATAGATCTTTTGGCCTTAACCTTCTTCCCCTCTCTTTTATATTAGTTCAAAATTCTGTCTTAGAATATGTATCTTTGAAAATGTTTTTTGTATTTATCTTATCCTCCCTACCTTGTTACTTTCATTCCAGCGAAAAGGAAAGGAGCCCACAGAACATCAACCTGAAGTAATCCTGAATAACTTTACAACACGACTGGGCCATTCCATTGGTCGCATGTTTGCCTCTCTCTTCCCACATGATCCTCAGTTCATTGGAAGACAAGTAGCTACGTTTCACAATCAGCGAGACTATATCTTTTTTAGATTTCATAGGTAATCTTTTCTCAAATTTTGCAAGAGGCTAAGAAAAACTGCATTCCTGTAGCATCCCACCCTAATATTTTCCCCTTTGGCTTTGAAGGTACATCTTCAAGAGTGAAAAGAAAGTGGGAATTCAAGAGCTTGGGCCACGATTTACCTTAAAGCTGAGGTCTCTTCAAAAAGGAACCTTTGATTCCAAATTTGGAGAGTATGAATGGATTCACAAGGTATGTTTTTCAGTAATGATATCAGGATGGGCACTTAAAATTTTGGCATTCTGAAACATAACCACAAACATCAGCCTGAAAGAAAAGTAGTAAATGACATTTAAAGAATGGACATGGCTAACTGAAACTTCATTTAGAGTTTTTAAAGAAATATAGCAGAACCTTTCTAACTTGCATATTGGAAAATAAGTGATTAATAAAAAAAAGCAAGGATAACGAGTACTGATATACCCCAATCAGTTATTCGTAAAGTCTAGTTGAACTTTAGCATAATTGGTAGTATACAAGTGTTCTGTGGTAGAACTTGTAAAGTCTTACTGAGACATTATTACTGTGGACTTGCTACTGGCTTGCTGGTAAAGTTGATTAGAGCTATTTCTGTTTGCAAATGAGTAGAATAATCATAATGTGCAAATAAGTGAGGCTTGATTGTGTGCATAAATATCTCAAGTCAAACTGACTTTTTAAATTATTTTAAACAAAATGGGAGTGATAGAATAAATAGGTAGTATTAAACCACTTCACTAGTCATTTTTTGCCATGGAGTTGTAGCACTTGGCTTCCAAGTTTAGAAACATTAGGCAGCATGCAAAGCTACAAGAGGAAAAAGCTCTGGTACACTTTGATCACTGAGTACATGGTAGATGTAGTTACTTTTTAAAACAGAAATGAAAGAACCATATTCACCTTTATAATGTGTGCGTCAGCACATCTATGAGCCATCTATGTGATCTTGATAATGCCACACCTAAAAATGGAACACTCTGCTCTTCATCTCCCCCACTGCTAATCCTGGCAGGCTGAATCCAAGAACTAGTTAAAGTATATTGCAGCTGCAGTGCCACTTGGAAGATACATACCACCTTTCCCCTCCTACTATAGTTTTGTTTTAAAATACGTATTTTCCCATTTCTTTAGTGTCTGCTACTGTGACATTTAACAGCAAATTTTATAGTGAATATCTTTTCTTTAAATTTCAGCACCGTGAAATGGACACAAGTAGAAGAAAATTCCACTTATAATGATCATCTAGTCCTACCTAATTGATAGGAGTGCAGAACTTTCTTGCATTTTTCTGTAACTAAATTGAGTCTGGCTTTGGTCCTGTCATCTCAAATTCGTTGTTAAACAATGTTGCTCATCACTGAGCAATGTTATCTGCACAGGCAAGCAGACTACAGACATCTTCAAACTTTCTACAATAGATGTTTTGAAACACGCTTGGTGTCATCTTCAGCGTTCCCGCTAGTCCTCAATGCTGTCTCCTAAAGCAGTGCTACTGCCTCTAAGGGTATGTCTGTGAAGCAGCTGGGAAGCATGCTCCCAGTGCTGGTAGACAAACATGTACTAACTCTGCTTGAGCTGGCATGCTAAAAGCAGCAGTGTGGCTGTGGGGGTGGCATGGGCTAGCCACCTGCGTACAAACCTGCCTGATCCCCTGGGAACTTACTCAGATGGCTAGCCTGAGCTGGGGCTCATGCCACCCCCAGCTACACTTCTGTTTTTAGCACTCTAGTATGAGTAGAGCTAAGGCATGTTTGTCAACCTGCACTGGGAAGCATTCTATAGAATGCTGAGTAGACCTATCCTTTGATTCAAAACTGGCAAAGTTTCCTAGAATGTGAGTAGCAGCTGCCAGTAGGTTGAACAGTAGAGACTGTATCATGACTACCCCCAATGCCTTAGTAACAAAGCTGTTTGGGAGTACCATGGTTGGTTGTGCTCGAAGGTAAGTAGACACAGACTCTACTGTCAGTTAGAATAGGTCAGACGCAAACAATGTTGCCCTGTTTCTGTAAATTGTGCTGTATCATTGCCGTAACAGCTCTACTTCTACTGTTCCAAGAACTGTATTTCATAACCAGATTAGCTGTACTTGAAGAAAGACCTTATTGTGAGAGGTGGAGTATGAAGGAAAAGATATCTGCCCAGAGACACTTATAGTCTCTTACTAAGACAGCTCAGCGTTAAAACACAGGGTTCCAAAAATGAAGCAAGTGTGTATATGTAGCTGTATCTTAACTTGATTAAATGCACACACTGTCGGAAAGGCAGCTTCTTCCATTTGAGTAATTTGCCTCTTGGTGCAAATACAGCCCTAATCTGGGTGCTAAACAGCTATCTAATAGCTGGCTAGTTGTTTAACAAATTGGTAGTCAAAGACCACTTTGTAGACAAACGCTTTAAATCAGCTAAATGGGTGTGAGGAATTGGGCTGTAGTTTCCAAGAGGGACTTTTGTAACTAATCAATCGGTCTTATTTTGCTTTTAAGAACAAGTAACATGAAAATTATGAAGATACTTTATCTTGGGTAGAAAAGAGCAATGGTTTTTCTCTACTGCAAGTAATGAGCAAAACAAAAATCTTCACTGGCTTCAGCATCTGAGCACCAACTTTGTATGGGCATGGATGATGTACTTCTGAAGAAATTTAGTGGTTTGGCTTCAATTGGAATTGTTACAGGCTAGTGATGTGGAATACCCACAATATTTGAAGTCTCAAATCTGAGTTTGCTTTAGTAAATATACACCTAAAATAACTTTGGAGAAGTATCAGAGTCACAATATTGAAACAGTCCTGCAGTAATTCCAAAAACAGATTAAGTCAAAACATTTTTATTTTTTGCTTGGTATGTAAAACTGATTCCCTCATGAAGTAGAAGTTATTGCAACTAGCACACAGTTCATTTGGAGAGGTAGATGGTAAGAGGTTTGACAACAGTAGCGATTTACACAGTTAACTTGGCACATTGTTAAGGCTAAGCTTTTGTACAGACTTCAAACCAAGGCACTCCTTGAGTCACATTCTCTCCACACAGAGCAGCGTGAAAAGGTGTTAGAAGATCTGAAAGACACACACACACAAAAAAAGTGGTTAGAAAAAAGTAATGAAAATCTATATGTATGCTTGATGAAAGTACTCCCACGTATATCTTTTATTATAGATGACACCAGAGACAAGTAGGTATAAATTAGTTTACCTTCACAGGTAGCTCATGGGACAAAGGGTGGTTTTCATTGCCATCACTCTCAGAAGTTTATATACTGTAAATTCTCCCAGGTAGGATGTTATACAGCAGGGACTAAATGCAGAATCCAACTTGTACAAGTGAATAGGGGGCTCATTCTCCTGGGAGCTGAATCTATTAAACTGAGTGGTCTGAACTGGTTGACCAGAGAAAATAAATTATTCTACAGCAACAATAGTTGCAAACTCTCTCTTCTAAACACCACCTCCACTTGGAGATACCCAGACTATGTACTGGGTGAGAGGTGGTATCTACTGCCTCTGAGTGTTGCTAACGTTTCTGGCTCATCCTAAAAAAAAAAAAAAGTAGGGCTCTCCCCATAAAGTTTGCTGTTTGGGGAGGTTACAGGAAAAGAAACCTCTCTTTTACAGGTAGAATGCCTAAACTGTTGTCCTAAGGACTTCTGCTTGTGATGTCAGCAGAAACAGATGTTTCAGTCCCACCCCAAGTTCTGATGGTAGGAGCTGAGACTTGGAAATAAAATTTAAATTCTTATTACAAGGAAGGGGTAGGGGTTTTTTTGAGTGGAGTAGGAAAAGGAATTGATTACCACTGCATCTTAATTCTTGGGTGTGGGTCTCAGGAAAAGCTTAGTGTAGAGCAGAATCTTACACTGCCAGAATCCATGCTCTACCTCAGTGGTTCTCAAACTTTTGTACTGGTGACCCCTTTCACATAGCAAGCCTCTGAGTACGACCCCCCCTTTAGAAATTAAAAACACTTTTTAATATATTTAACACCATTATAAATGCTGGAGGTGAAGCAGGGTTTGGGGTGGAGGCTGACAGCTTGCAATCCCCCATGTAATAACCTCATGACTCCCTGAGGGGTCACAACCCCCAGTTTGAAAACCCCTGCTCTACCTGCTTCATGGACAAAAGACTTTAGGACTGGCAAATAGGATATTGTTCACTAGCACTAAATTCTTTTATTTGGTGAGGAAATGAGCAGTATATTTTAGTTGAAAAGTTTACTGAAAAGTCAGAACTTTTTAAAAATATACTCCATAATGAATGTTGTATACATTTTAAATGAATGACCTGATGACCACTTATTTTATCAGGGCTGGAAGGGACCTCAGGAGGTCATCTAGTCCAACCCCCTGCTCAAAGCAGGACCAATCCCCAGACAGATTTTTTCCCAAGATCCCTAAATGGCCCCCTCAAGGATTGAACTCACAACCCTGGGTTTAGCAGGCCAATGCTCAAACCACTGAGCAACTTGTATCATTTTTTATAGTTTAAAAACTTACCACTGAAAGAGACCAAGATAGTTCACCAAATTACAAAAATGAACAGACTTTCTGGGGTCTGAATGGATTTGTACTTGAAGACACTCCTGTCAGTAGGGGATCATGTTGTGCATTCTGCAGACAGAACTGCTTCAAGTCTGCTGCGGCTTGAGAAACCTAGTCATAAAGTAAATTTTAAATTAGCATTCACAGCAAATACTTTATCTTGTATGTAACGTTTTTTGTAGTGTATGGAGTGTGCTGTTTTCAGTACAGCTAGATTTTATTACACACAACGCTTGCATTTTAGTTTTTGTTCAGAAAAACTATAGCATTCAGTAATACTCCATTTTAAGGGAGTTGGTCTTGTCTTCAGATACTAAGTGCACAGTTCAGCATATCTTTGAAAATCAGCTCTTGGCTACTATACATACAGGTTCCTCAAGCAGAAGTAGCATTTAACACACTATGGGTAATTTTTACAAGACATGCAATCATACACCAATGTCTGCCACCTAATGCAAGCCCCAAGACAGTTTTACTTTATACTTTTTCTAAGGGCTTGTCATCACTACGTGTTAGCTCAAGTGTTGACCCTAACCCAGCTCCTGCGCACAGACAAGTCTCTAGCTTCAGAAAAGTGGTGCTTTTAACTTGAGGTGGCTGATTTGGCAGCGTATAGGTTGAAGCTCAGGTGTTGCTAAGACTAGTAAAGGAGTGGGGACTCAACTACTCCATGCTGCTAATCCAATCCTATTGTGCTGCTCTAATGTTTTGCAGTGTGATAACTCCTCTCCTTTGAATAAGTGTGAACTTGATAACTTAAGTTAACATTGAAGTCAAGCCTTAAGAATAACAAGAGATATGTTATACCATTTTGTATAAATACATTGCTAAAGGAATCTATATATGCCCTCAAGAATGTGAAAAATCCACCCACTGTATGTTAAAATTTTCAGTTCCAAACTAAGCAACGTGATGATCTTAGAAGTGGTATTTATCTGTATTATAATTGTAGACAGAGGACTCAGAGTGGGGTGACAACGTGGAGGTCACTGTGCAAACTCTTCAGACACAGTACCCTCCCCAAAAGAGGGTAAGCATTTGAATTAAGTGGGAGTAGTGTCTGAAAACAAAGCCAAATTTACTCTGGCCAAACCTTCCAGTATCTGGGCATTGACATATTTTATCTGGACCTCAGGTGACCAGCTGTCCTGATTTTATAGGGACAGTCCCAATATTTGGGGCTTTGTCTTATAAGGCACCTATTACCCCCTACCCCATCCTGATATTTCACATGTGCTGTCTGGTCACCCTATCTGGACCAAAGCAAGCAGGGAAAAGCCTTCTGCCACTCAGGTGAAGAATTTTAAATAAGTGGTTTTCAACCAGGAGTATTGCAGAGGTCTTCCAGGAGGTATATCAACTATATGCCTAGTTTTACAACAGGGTACAGAAAAAGCTAGTGAAATCAGTACAAATTTCATACAATGACTTATATAAATGTTCTCTATGCTATACACAAATGTAAGTACAATATATTCGATTTATAATTCTATTGGAAAAATGAGAAAGTATGCAAATTTTCAGTACTAGTGTGCTGTGACACCTTTGTATTTTTGTGTCTGATTTTGTAAGCAACTAGATTTTAAGTGAGGTGAAACGGGTTTGTAAGACAAATCAGACTCCGGTAGTCTGGAAAGGTTGAGAATCACTGTTTTAAATCATCCTTGATGCTGTGTCATGCTTAATTAACATGTCTGCAAGTCCACCACCAAATAAATTAAAAAAAACAAAACAATCCTCTAACTGTACACATTTGTTAAGCTTTCCCCGTGAAATAAGAATAGCCCTCATTTTTGAGAAAAAACAATTATGGCTGCATGCCCTGACACCCCACCTCAGATAAACTAACTTTATTCTCCCATTCCTCTCCACCAGGAAAACATTCTCGTGATGAGACAACACATGGAGAGCACTATTTTTTTTACAAAAGGTTGTAGGTACATGAAAACATAGCAGGCGATTTCTCCCCAATTACTTATTTTGAAAGGAGATCTGCAAACTGTAGCTTGCCAATTTAACACAAGGCCTAGCCTAGCCTGAAAGTCCACAGATGATGCGCACTCAGCATAAGCGAGGGCTCTAGGAACGTCTCCATTTTATATCTGAATAATCAAAACGGGTGAGAGGCCTGCAACAGCCTAGGCCGGGGCAGTCAACAGGCGGACCGTGGGCCAAACTCAGATCAGTTGGAACGGGCCCGGGCTTTTATTATTTTCTCTGCAGTTTGGCTCTTGACCGAAGCTAATTGACTATCCCAGGCCTAGGCTGAGCGAGTCCTTTCCAGAGAGGTGGCGGGGGGAAGAGACTCCGCACCGCAGGACACCTTAAGGGGGAAGGTGCCCAGCTGGTGCAATCCCGCCCGCTCAGGCAGCAGCATTTCAGGCAGGCGGCAGCTCCGCCCTGCAGCACAGCGCACCCCGGGATTAGGAAGTGAGCGGCTGGGGCGTGCTCAGCCTGCGGCCGCTGTGACCACCCCCGAGTTGCCCGGCACAGCAGCCCTGCGCGTGGGGCGATGGCCCCACGAACGAGAACGGCCTGTAGCGCCGACCCGCCCGCGGCCCGTCCCTGCGCTGCGGGGCCCCGGGCGGGTTCGGGCAGGGCACGCGCAGACAGCCGGGCACAGGGGCCGGGGGGGGAGGACAGGAGCCCTCCGGTAACGGGGGCCGCCAGCCGCCCCAGGGGAGGGGGCCGGTGGGCGGGGCGGGCGGCAGCTCTGCCCCTCAGGCGCGGGGTCTGGGCGCGGCCCCGGCGGCCCGGCCGGGCGCCCCACGGCCTCTCCCACCTTCACGCGGCTCACGCTGGCCTCCAGGCGCAGCTGCTGCACCACCTTCTTCATGGCCGCCACGCTGGAGGAGCCCGACATGGCGCGCGGGGAGCGGCTGGGCTCGGGCTGCGGAGCCAGGCGCTGCTCGGAACTTTAGCACGAAGTTTCCGGCGCTTCCCAAACTGCCCCCGGCGCCTGCGCAACCGCCGCCCTGACTGGAGGGCGGCGCGCCCGGGCCGGCCTGAGGGGGCGGTGTGACCGCGCGCAGCGCCTCGCCGCAGCGGGGCTGCCCCAGCCAGGCTCTGGGGCGGCGGAGCCTAAGGGAAATAACGCCACTGTCACGATACAGCCCCATAGGTGTCCCGATAGCGGCGTAGCTCCCTAGGTCCTTCTATCGTGGCCATACCCCCGGTCCCAGGCCCAACCCAGCGCCAGGTGTCCCGGGGTCGGGGTTCAGCGCCTCCGCTGGATTTGCTCCGGCCCCTGGAACAAATGGCGAGAAGGCGTCAGTGAAGGTAATCGTGGCTCCTTAGTGACCCTCTGCTCGCCCGGCGGTGTTTGAAAAGGGACCGTTACCCAGGAAACCCTTCCCTCGGCCCGAGCAAGGCAATGCCGTTAGCGCAGGGTAAATACAAGAACTCAAACTGAACAAGACACATACAAGATAAGAAGGAAACTTGCGGCTCTGTGGCACCTGCTCGCCAACGATCCCAAAGTGCTTCCTAGATCTACTAATGAAGGGAGCCTCCCACCCTACTCACCTTTGGGGTAACAGCCCATTTTACAAACGGGGAAGGAAAAGCTGCAACTTGCCTAAGAAGAGATCACGCAAGCCTGTGGCAAAGTCGGCCAAAACCCGCAATCTCCTTCCCTCACTATATTTGAACCAGCAGAAGAACATGGTTCCCAGGAGTGCCCCTCTGGCACTAGTGACTTACTTCTGCTTGGTTCGAGTTCATGTACTGCTTAAACTGGCTTATCCTTTCACCAACACGGGTTTAATAAAAAATCTTATCTCACCTACCCTGCCTCTAGGATGGTGAATAGTTAGTTCTACAAGTATACATTAGTATACAGTTTTGTATTAGGGTTTTCATGGATTTTGAGTATTTGATTTATAATTCAATATTTCTGAGAAAAATAAAGTGAATAGTAAAACAAAGGTTTCAGAGTAGCAGCTGTGTTAGTCTGTATCCGCAAAAAGAACAGGAGTACTTGTGGCACCTTAGAGACTAACAAATTTATTAGAGCATAAGCATCCGAAGAAGTGGGCTGTAGTCCACGAAAGCTTATGCTCTAATAAATTTGTTAGTCTCTAAGGTGCCACAAGTACTCCTGTTCTTTTTTAGTAAAACAAAGTTTCAATCCCTGGCATATAATGTTCACACTATATTTTGGGACTTTGCATTTCTTTAGTGGCTTCCAAATAATTTCTGGAGAAATTCCCCTAAAATGGAGACAAAATGGAAAAAGTTTTTTTTACTTTGGATTTAGGGAGAAAATAATGTTGTATCCAGGCCTAGAGAGTTTTATACTATACAATAATGCTTGTGATGAGTCAGAATAAAATTAGCTCCTCAGATAAATTGACCTAAACATTTCAAACTAATTTCAACAGATGTTAATAGGAAAAAATGCTATTTTAAAGGACTCCCATTAACTAGATGCATTTTGAGTTTATTGCAATTAATTCAGACAACAAAAGATGAATAGATATTGTAGATTTTTTTGGGGGGGGGGCTGAAAAACATCAGTTCTCATCTAAAATCTTTTGACACCTGGTTCTAAATCCCTTATTCTAGAAAAAGATGGTAACTACACAACTGTGATATAGTATTTGATAATAGATATGCTGTACAATTATTGGCCATTTTTTAATCCCATTGATTTCAGTAGAAGTTAGGAACCTAAATACCTTTGAGGTTCTTGGCCAAAGATTTTACAATCTGGATTTACTTTGACAAAACAGGAAAAAGCAATGGGATAGAGACAGGGAGGGAGGAAAGAAGGAAGGAAGGAATATGTAGAACAAGGCACTGAGGTGAGTGGTACAGTAAGCGTAGGCTTTTTGTTTGTTTTTATAGTGATAGAAAATTATAACCATGTAAAACACAAGAGTGGAGAATTCGTGGTTTTTAGGACAAGGGCCAGAGGAGACAATTAAATCTGTTGTTTTAAAGGAACCATGGTAATCTCAGTCATCAACGAAAAATTTAAACAGTGTTTGCAGTCTAAATGGAATAAGAGGAAGAAGAATACTTTGCACTTTTCAGGTCTTTTTACTGAGGATCTTAAAGCACTTTATGAACAATCATTAATGAAGACTCAGCAGCCATGGGAGGCAGGTGAGAATTATTATTTTCATTTTAGTGATAGGAATACTGAGGCACAGAGCTGTTAAGTGACTCTCCTAATGTCTCACAAGAGGGGTCTGATCAAAGTGATCTTGTTGTCCTTACTCAGGTAAAACTACTGAAATCAGGATCAGAACTCAGTGAAGGGCAGAACTGGAAATAAAAGCCAGACACTCAATTCTCTCCTTTTAATGATAATTTGTCTGTCTCTGTTTGTTAATGATAAGTAGGGCTTCTGAATTTAGGTTTTAACCAATAAACACAAATAAAACACCCCGATGCAAAACAAATTAAATTGGTGTTTATCAGTAAACACCAGAAAAGGTTACTTGTGTCTGAGGACTTGTCTACATGGAGCAGTAATGCAGACTATGGGAGGTGTGATTTGTAATGCACACTAACATACTGCAACATTAATTGGTCTCTGTAGACCCTGCTGATGCCCACTAGGGAACATTACAAAAAGATTACTCATTACAGCAAATATGACTGTAATGAGTAATATATATATTAATATATACAAAGAGAAAGCCATGAAAAACCCTGATTTTTGGACATCTACATAAAATTCAAAAATTGATAAAATAATCCTCCCCAAATTAAATGAATAAACTCAAAAAACCAGAAGCACTAATCATCAGCCTGTCTATACTAGCACATTCCAATCAGATTTGTCAGCTTCCAACACTGATCCAGGAAGTCTTTATGGGAAACAATGCATTGATGGTTCAATACCCTGCTAAAATGAGAGTTAAATAGCATGAAAAATGTGGGTATTGGAATCAGTGGAGAAATTATTACAGTTTGAAATGTGCATATCTGTAGGTAGGATTAATGATACAGGGACTTACCCATTCCCACATCCTCTCTTGCTTTATGGATGAAGCCAAGTGTCCTTGGAATACTTTTCTGTTTTGACTCATGCATGCTGAAATGTCACTGGTGTGAATGACTGCATGGCTTCAGACTCTGCCATTCTTGCCCATCTACCCAGAATCCAGACACTGAAAGAAATACATCTTGTGTTTGTTAGATGCACTGTAGAAATATATAGATAACTATATACAGTAATTAAATACTTTTTGATGAAAGAAGAATGGAAAATATTACTCAGAATACTAATGCAAACCTCAGTTGCCCAACTGCAATTATGCAATTCACTGGGTTACTTAGGTGATATTTAGTTGTATAGAAGGTGTGTTCACATCAAAGGGAGTATTAAGCCTACTAGTCAATACTTAGCTCTTTGCAGTTTGTCTTCCGGTTTTGCTGGAAGCAAAGCCTTCAGCCTGAATCCAGAACTTACTTACAAGCTCTCTGCTGCTTTTTTCTCAAACTTTTGTATGAAGTGGAAACAGATTCAAACTGAATGGAATACCATTTTTGACTTACAGGATTTATCATAATCCATTCTGTTAAGTAATGCTAAGATACAAAAGAAATTTAAAAATCCATCCGGAATCCAGTGACACCCAATACAGGCACCAGTGAATATGTCATTCAGTCAAACTAGACCGCCAACATCAGAGGTGAGAACTTTTGCTCTGAATATTTTAGAAAATCTGTATAACTGTTCTAAATTGTGAAAATTGCTGCCATGCAACCAATGGCAGATGTGTGAAGAAAATATCCACTTATTTTAAAGACGTGTGCATGAAAAACCATTCAAAGTCTAGTTTATATTTAATACCCAAAAGTTTATAGGAATATTCACTAAAGTTTATTTGTGCTGGCTGTTTATATAGGCCACATATACACTAGGAAACTTTTCCAAAAATTTCCCACTATTGCTAACACTGGTTCAGCTGCATCAAAGATAGCAATATTGGGAGCTCAGCTATCAACAGGGCTCCCATGGTCATCACAGTTTTAAACCTAATGTCACCTAACCCTCCTCAGTTCAGGTCCAATCGTGGTTTCAACAGCCACTGGCCTATGCACTTGAGTACTTGGACTATTGCTGTAATTGTTAGAAACCTGGAAATGTTTTGAAAATTTTCCCTAGTGTTGTCAGGACCTCAGTGTGTATTTGTCATTAATAAGACGAATGTATGTTAATGGTGGGCCCTACACTCCTTTCTGTTGCATGGCTCAGAGTGGAGGCAAGGAGTAAAACTAGAGCATAAAGGGCCTGATTTTCCATTGCCTTACACTTTGTGTAGCCATTTACACCCATGCAAAGTAGCTGTAAAATGCCAGCATTCTGATCTGGAAAAGTGTATATAAATACAGGCAGTAGAGACAGTGATTAATTTGTGCCAGGGCTGAGCCTGGCACCTATAGGCTTGGCAGTTCATAGCCCCGGCACTTCTGGGCTTGCAGCATCAGTTATGCATGTAAATAAATTGCTTGATTCCCAGCACCTCTTTCATTACAAATTAAGCACTGGGCACTTTCCCTCAACACAAGCACATGGAAGCTTCTCCATACACAGTTTTACACTGAGGCCCTGATCCAAGCCCATTTAAGTTAATAGAAGCCTTTGCATTGACTTCAGTGGCCTTTGCAACAGGCTCTTAGAGCTCTGCAGATTTTGGGAGGTCACTTGTCTCTCTGAGAACTTCAAGTATTTCCAATCAGTTCTAATCATTGCTAGCAGAGTAACATCCAACAGCAGCACGGCTCCTCCTCTGCCCTGACTTCTAAAGATAAAATAGTTCCAACATTATTTCTGTGAAAAATTTCCACACTGAACACGCTGTCAATTGAAATGCATGCGGTCTAAATCCAGCGCTCATGATTATTTATGTGGCCCACATGAAATATTCAAATTGTGCTGAACCCAAGTTTTCTTTCTTCCTTTTTTAAAGTAATTTTCTAGAATTTATGATTGCAGAGAGAGCCTGCCAAACGTGAACCAAGTGTAAATTGATATAATGTCTGCATGAGTCTGCAAACAATGACTCAGAGATGTTAACTCCTCTCCTGGTCTTGAGTCTGCATTAATATTTTTATTAATATAGAAAACATTTATAATTTTATAAAATGAAAATGAGTGAGGTTTGTAAGGTGCAGAAAGGAGATATTGGACCCAACTTTATAGTTTTACCGAAGCATTCTAATTTCCAAAAGTGAATCTCCACAATCAGGAAAAAATGTTTTACAAGATATCATTGATAATTATTCCATGGCTGACATTTGTCAGCACTTTAGCTATTTTTCTTATTCGTGAGCCAAATCCTATCACTGGGAAATTTCTGAGTTAATACTGCAGCATTTTGTCCATTATTATTATTATTATTATTATTATATTATTGTGAATCTCCTTTCTGCTAGCAGTCAAAGCCTGTATAACTGACTACCTGATAATGATTTTAACTATGTTTATACAGTACTTTGAAAATCTACCTGACTCTGCAAGTCTAAATGTTATTATTTAAATAACTGGTTCGCTGATACCAAGTAAAAGCCTTGTGTGCATTAAAAACGTGTATATGTTTAATCTAATTTGGATCAAATTGTTTGAAATCTGCCATGTCCATAAAAGCATTTTGAGGCATATTCATTTATCATCTTTATTATGATAGTGCCTAGGGACCAGTCAAGCTGCTTCATTGTTCTAGACACTGTACACATATAGAATTAGAGACAATACCTTCCCTAAAGAGTTTAGAGTCGAAATTAACAAGACAGTGACAGGATCGAGCAACAGTATATAACATACACCAGAATGAACAATGCAGTGGTTTATGAATATTATGCATGTGTTTTTTGTTTTGTTATATAAATCCTTTTGGTGGACACCCTGTGTCAATATTTGTATTACTTAAATGCTTACTGTGTATCTATAACTGAGATAATCTTCTCTCACTGCATTTAGTTGGTAGAGCTTCATGTTTTTTATGTCCCAGAAGAAGTGTGGAACTTCACATTAAATACAGTTTCTGCAGATCTTACTAGCAAATTCATTTCAGCTGGATTTATAAGGTGAGTAATTGCTAAATAACGAGGAAAAATGCTGCTTTAGGCCCCAATCCTGCATACACGCTTGCACATGCTTAACATTGTGCCTGTGAGTAATTTCTTTATACAGTACTTCAGCTAATCCATGTAGCTGGATAGCTCTATAGGGAACCATTGTAGCACAGCATCAGCTAGAACAGCCCTTGAGGTTCCTGTTCTGTGGTCGCTTCCAGAATCCAGGCGACACAAAGTTGGCACACAGCCATCTTTGCTTTTCTTGGGCTACACCAAACTTAGCTCCACCACACCCAAGAATCTGGACCACTAAAATTCATTTCCAAAAGGGGAATTAGCGAGAGAGAGTGAGTGCCTTCCTTTTAAAAAGATATGATGTTGGACGGATGGTTAGACAGCAACATGAATTCCACAAGGGTAATTCATACAATTGGAATGTTTGCCTGTCCATATTTATTGTCCTTTGTGTAACTTAGACTCCAATCCTGCAATGAGCTCTGCTTGGAACCCATTGAAATTGATGTGGCTTCATGTGTGCATAGGGGTCTACCCGGGCAGAGCTCATTGCAGAATCAGCGCCCAAATTTCTAAAATATTTTTACCAGACCTTGCAACAGAAAGCAAAGGATTAACCTTTAACATTTTTTATTTTCTGAATGTTTTTTCTTTTGTAACGTACAAGATATTAAGGATAAAATCCTGGCCCCTTTGCAGTCTTGGGAGTTTTGCCATTGATTTCACCACTAAAAGTCTAATGAGTTTAAGAAACAGAAGTGAATGTTATAGTTAATTTAACTTGAAAAAAGACACTGTCTGACATGCTTTAAAAGAATAGTATCAGAGGGGTAGCCGTGTTAATCTGGATCTGTAAAAGCAGTAAAAAGTCCTGTAGCACCTTATAGACTAACAGACGTATTGGATCATGAGCTTTTGTGGGTGAATACCCACTTCGTCAGATGCCAGACAAAGTGGGTATTCACCTACGAAAGCTCATGCTCCAATACATCTGTTAGTCTATAAGGTGCCACAGGACTCTTTGCTGCTTTAAAAGACTGTTACCCCTGACTTCCTATTGAAGGCAGGTAATATTGGTGTGAATGACAAGCTGAAGCCCAATCCACTCCCACGTAAAGCAGGATTGAGCCCTAGTCTGTGATCACAGGTAAGGAAGGGGACTATAGTCTTTACTCACAAGAACAGCCATTAGGAACCCCGTGAGTGCAGAGAAGTTACAGAAGATCAAAATGATCTAAAGGTAGTAGGTACCACCAAGCAGTCTAATACATTGAAATGTTCAGTTGCATTGTAAGCCCTCTGCATACCAAAAGGATAGCTAGTTGTCCTTGTCACATGAGCCCCAATAAGAACTCCTTACAAAGCACGGAGGGATGCCAAAGTAAATATGCTCTCACATTCTTTGTGGAGCTTTGAGAAGAAAACTAATCACTGATAGAGATCTTGCAATGTAGAAATCAAGTTTAAAATAGCAAAGCAACCCAGAGTGTGGGTATTGCACACAAATTGTGGATATTAAATTATGAACCTGTTTAGCTTATGGTAAACATATCAAATGTTTATTATGGTATTGTTTTGATGTTGCAGTGAACATTGTATCTGTATTTGCATTATATGCTCGAGCTTTATTTTCAGGAGTTGCTATATGGGCTGCAAAAATTTGCTGTTAGCTAAATCTTGACACTCAAAGGTTTAGACAAAGAATGAATATTTTCTTTTTGAGGTAAAAATTTTGAGGTAAAAAATTAGATTTTTTTTTCTACATGATGGAAGGACAAAAATAGTACATTTGTCTGTTTTCAGATAAACTCTTGTGCTCTAATTAAATAACATTGTTTTTTAAATTGAAATTTTCTAGCCTACCTGTCTAGCCTTAGAATATACAAGGAAATAAAAAGAAAAGTCAGTTCTGGCTCATGAGATGAGATCTGAAATATTTCATAATATCATCATGTCATAATACCATCCCAGAAGGTCCCTTGCTGTGGGAAACCATCCGTGAAGGATGGACAACAAGTGAAGACAAAGCATATAAGGAGGCAGCCAACCAAAGAGAGGCCAAATTCCCAAGTAGAACCTTGCATTCTCATGTGGTTGGCTCTGTCCCATTTCTATTATACTCTACCTTGGTATCCATGGGCTTTTCTACACTTAAAACGTTACAGCAGCACAGCTGTGCCACTGCAACTGCGCTGCTGTGGCACTTCTGTGTAGTCCCTACCTATGCGGATGGGAGGGATTCCCCTATCAGTCTAGGTAATCCACCTCTGCAGGACGCAGTAGCTAAGTCAACAGAAGAATTCTTCAATCAATCTACAACTGTCCATAGTGGGACTTAGGTCGGCTTAACAATGCTGCTCAGGGGTGTCTTAGGTCGGCTTAACGACGCTGCTCAGGGGTGTTGATTTTTCACACCTGTGACCGGGGTAGTTAAACAACCTAATTTTCTAGTGTAGACCAGGCCTAAGTACCTTCCAGTAGCGCATTAAGCACCATAGAATCATAGAAATGTAGGACTGGAAGAAACCTTGATAGGTCACCTAGTCTAGTTCCCTGCACCGAGGCAGGGCTAAGTATTATCTAGATCATGTCTGGCAGGTGTTTGTCTAACCAGTTCTTAAAAACCTCCAGTGATGGAGATTCCACAACTTCCCTAGGTAATTTGTTCCACTGCTTAACTACCCTTACAGTTCAGAAGTTTTTCCTAATGTCTAACCTAAATCTCCTTTGCTGCAGTTTAAGCCCATTACTTCTTGTCCTGTCTTCAGTGAAGAACATTTTATCACCTTCCTCTTTATAACAACCTTTTACATACTTAAAGACTGTTACCATGTCTTCGCTGAATCTTCTCTTCTCCAGATTAAATAAACCCAATTTTTCAATCTTTTTCTGTAGGCCATGTTTTCTTGACCATTAATCATTTTTGTTGCTCTCCTCTGGTCTTTCTCCCAATTTGTCCACTAACATAATTAACATCTATCACATATTGTTGTTCTCTCATCCTTCTCTGGGGAAGAAGTATGTGCTGTGGAGTATTTTGTTTAATAACACATACGCATGTGCACACACATTCCTATATGTTTCTATTAGAGAAGGCAAGATGCACTTTCCCTTGAGAGAGCATCTGTGTGATACTCCTTAGTTCCTAGGAGAATTGATTCCGCAGTTTTGGGCCTGCCACCAAGAAAGCTCTGTCTTTTGCACAGATACCCTCATTGTAGTTCCCAGTAATTTTGTCTTCTAGTGTCAGACAAGCAAAAGTGTTCCCCGCACCTTTTTCAAATTGCAGGTCCTGCCCCTTTGCTTTTTGTATGGATAACTGAGATGTGAACAATTCTCAGGTGGTGTTGTAATCGCATTTGATTCACAGTATCATCATATTGTGATGCACCATCATGACTTTGAAACACTAAGCCTGCCTGATCTGGAAATGCAACATTTCAGGCACAGTCTCACATTGCAAACTAAATAGCCATCATCATTTCTTACAACTGTAATAATGAATAATGGTGTTCTAGGGTGCCTCGTCATGTCACATTGAGAGCATTGCGGGAGCAGCTTGGAGACTTCCTGGGTGAAGATGCTGTTGCAGATAAGTTTATATTTCTGAAACATATAGGGAAAAAGCTAGCAGTGGTAAGTTATTTCTGCATTTTCTCTAGATTTCTTCTTTTGCATTTTTTTGAAACTGGATATTAGACAACATTTTATACCTTTTCTCCCATTAAAAAGCAAAACAGAGAAGTTTTTACCCTGCTCTACTGAGATTGTCAGATATTTAATAAAGTATTTTTTCTTTAGTAGTTAGAAAATTAAAATATCCTAGCATAGATAACTGGACATTTTTAGCACCAAGCTGTAAATATTGTTTTAATCTTGTGAATTTTAAAGTAGTCGTATGCAGTTGGTATAATCTTCCTGTTTGTTTGGGGTCATGGTAACCTCTTGTATTTATATCTCTGTGATCAAATATTTGCTGAGTTTTTCAGTTCTGCTGTTTCACAACAGTAACAATGTAAGCTATTCCAAGAGCTGCACCTTTCTTACAAAGTAAGGGGAATTTGAATTAGGAAAACATTTGAATTAGGAAAACATGTTCACTTTTTTTTTTTTTTAATAATTTGACTGTAGACAGTGAAATCGATGTTATTGCCTTTGAGTAACTGAGAACAGAATTTTGTCCTATATTTAGTTTAATTTAATTTATTTCATTGGTTAAAGACAGGGTTAAATAGAAGTTCAGATTTCTTATTCTCTATAAGACACACTGATTTCAAATATACTCTTAAATATGCATTGATCACCTGAGATTTTGTATATTAAAAGGACTAAGTGAAAAAAATCTGAAAAGGATGTAGCCAAAGATATCAAGACAACTAATAAAAAATTCCTTAAGCACAGTAGAAGTCAGCAGGAGCGTCAGTGGATTCTTTTTCTACATTAAAATATTTGTTTTAACAATTGAATTGAGAGAAGCATGTTACTTAACACACACTTCCTGTTCAGACTGGGCCTAATCCAACTCCTAATGAAGTCAACAGGGAGTCTTTCCACTGATTTCAGCTGGGAATTGGCTCAGGTCTTTTGAGCCCTAAGTGAAAACGTAAGGGGGTGAAGATATTTATATAAATACACACACACTCCTGTTCGGCTGATTATAGCACACATTTGGAGTCTGACAAAAGTACAAATGAATAGATGTCATGTCAGAAAACAGAGAATTGTCGTCTATGTTCTTCCCCCCCAAAGTGCTAGTGTAATAAATGTAATTTATCATATGAAACTTACGAAGAAAATAACATACAAATGGAATGGTATGCTGCATTCCTTTTACAGAAGTATTTTGTTGATTTTACTTGCTTTTTTATGTTCCAAGGTGAAGGCAAAGCAAGAAACAGAACTGAAACTCAAGTTATTTGCTCCCCCACATGTATGTATCATATAATTTTCAAGTTATCATTTCAAGTGTGCACTTCATGTCAATTATTTCTTCCTTGTCTAATTAACATATGGTATGTTTTAGGCACTTCATCCCGAATTATATTTGCTCCCTGGAGTGGACCACTTAGAAATTGCTTATTCATCATCAGCAACTCCAGATACACAGCACTTTAATGCAGAATCCCATAGGTCTCCCCATGGACCAAGTACTTTAAATCTTCCAAAGAAAGAGCGTGAAAAAAGTCCAACATTTCTAGAAAGTCCACAGAAAAATACTCTCATGCAGAATCAGGAAGATTCTAGTTCTTTAGGATGGAGTGAGACAGAAAAAGAAATGATTTCAGTTTTGCACATAAAACCTGAACAAAGCCTGAACAACAGGACTTGGGAAAAACAGATTCCACGTAGAAGGAAAGGTAAGATTTAACTAGTATGGGGAAGGGAGAATGAGATGCTTTGGTACAGACGTAAACAGGAACTGAAAAAGAAAATGGCCAATTACACTATAAAAACCCAAACAAATCCAAACCTGTTGAAATAATATTAGAAGAAGACTGACTTAAATGATCAAATTCAGATCTGAAGACGAAGCCATTTCCTTCACCTAACTATACTATACTAACGGTCAAATAATTTACTTCTTTGTACTTCGCATTTGGTGATTTTTGTTGTTGTTCAGATTGACTTGTAAAAGAAGGGAAATGGATTTCTGCTCTTTTTTTGCCTGATTAGAATGCACAAAGTAGGCCTGAAAGGGTGATTTTTTGTTGTATTTCTTTAATGTTTTTTTTTTTAGTATTAATTTTTACATTACAATACAGGTTTTTTTCTTCTCTGGGAGAGATTGTGGACAGCTGGAGAACTGGTGTGGTTATGACATCAGGGAGGTCATGCCATTAAAACTTGATTAATTGAGATTTAAAACTTTGTTGTTTGTTTTGGTGGTAACGCACACTTAAACCAAAATACTCTACAAAAGGAGGGAAGAAAAGATCTCTTTAAAATATTTAACACACAGCCCTTTTGAGTTAAGGGCTGAGAAACCTCACAAAATACATGAGATGCCTCCAACATGTTCTCCATCAAAGCTAGGGAAGATCAGACTTGATGTTTCTTTTGCTGTTTCAGGCCTTTATATTTTATAAGGAAGCTCAAAAAAAAAAAAGAAATGTCATGCTATCTGAAGTGGTTCACAACCGTGAGTGCCAATTTCAGGTCAGACTGTCAGAAAACAGGGCAGACACCCCAAACTGGTGGTATATCTTTAATTAGATTTCACCAAGCCAGTAACATATGTGCATGCCTGGATCACTATATTAGTCTTACCATGGAGTCATGGGGTAGAGAGTTGGAGGGCAGGGTGCGAACTCTGGGAGGGTTTTTGGGTGTGGGAGGGGGTCCTGACCTGGGGCAGGGGTTGGGGTGCAGGGTCACGGAGGGAGTTAGGGTGAGGGAGGGGGTTCCAGCTGGGTGCAGGCTCCAGCTGGGTGGCGCTTACCTCAGGCGGCTCCCGGTTGATGGTGGGGTAGCAGGGCTTAAGGCATAGTCCCTGCCTGCCCTGGCTCCGTGCTGCTTCTGGAGGCAGCCACCATGTCCGGCCAGTTCGCAGCCAATGGGAGCTGCAAAGGTAGCCCTCGGGGTCGGGGGTGGTGTGCAGAGCTTCCCTGATCGCACCTATGCCTGGGAGCTGCAGCAACATGCCCATCACTTCCAGGAGCTGCGTGGAGCCAGGGCAGGAAAGGAGCCTGCCTTAGCCCCATTGCGCCGCCAACCGTACTTTTAATGGCTTGGTCAGTAGTGCTGACTGCAGCCGCCAGGGTCACTTTTCAACCGGGCATTACGGTCGAAAACCAGACGCTTGACAACCCTAGATACAGGATCGATACCTGGATCCATTCTTATAGCACCTTTTCAGGAAAGGCAATCTGGCAGCCATAATCATTTGCAGCATGGGCTCTGCCTTTGTTGATTAAACATAAACAGAGTCTGTGAATATGCATTGTCAAACAAAATGACCCATGCTTTGAAGTTAGCAATTTTTTATGTTTCCAAGTCTCCAATCTTGTGTGACGGATAAATGTAATGTAAACACATTGTGACAGCCAGAAACAATCCTTCATTAGTTTTCATCAAGTAAATTCCCATCTTAATACTAACATACACTTTTGATCTAGGCTTAATTAAGAACAGGGATATACATAATGTAATGCGATGGCATTCAACAGGTTACAAATAAGTGAAGACAATAACATTAACATTTTTTTTATATCCACACACAAGTTAACTGTCCTATTCCTCCTAGCCCACGTAACATTTATTTGATATTCACACACAAGTGAATTGGCCTATGGCTTTGATTTGAGCTGGTCTGTCAGCATCACAAGCACAATCCCATTTTCTTCTCTGAGAAGGCTCAAATTAGGGAAATGACAATTGGTTGGAAGCAGGAGAGGGATATTTTCCCTGGGATGTGCCGGGGTTGAATTGGCAGCCTGAGAAATCCAGCAGGTGTGTAATTTGTGCCACCTATTTTCCATCCCCAGGTTCTCATTGAGAGCCTCTCTTGCATAGGCAGCATGGTTGGTAAAACAAATGTCACAAGATCTGAAACTGATGTAATATGCAAACTTGGCAAGGTGTACAACCAGTAAGTCCTCTGATGTTTTATAGCCTTGGTCCTTGACCTGTTGTTTATCACCAAGATCTGTATGGTCTGAGATTCTGTAATGTGACCATGAACTCCACTGAGAGCACTGAGTTTAGAAAGCAGGGACATTTCTTTTGAGGGGCCTGTATAACCCTGAAATTCTCTCTTTCTGTCATTGGTGTCATCTAGGGGAAAGCTCAAAATCTGTTTGTTTCCTTTTAATTTTGTGTATGTGGTCTGGTTATACTTATTCCTTACTGCTTTGCTCTGAGACATATTTGGGATGTGTTGCTCTTTTGTGAATATCACTTTTAATTTGTTTTCATTTACTAAGGCTTTCAAAGGTCTTCAGCTATTGGACTCTGAAGAAAATAAAATGTATGATTATTAACATTTTAAAGGGCACATTTAAAATTGTGTATTTCTTTTCCCATGTAAAACTGATCAATTGTAATGCAGACCAAATTGGATCCAATGGATCTCTCCGCATACCAAGTAGTTTAAATCCCACAAAGTGGGAGTCTGGAAAAAATCCTACATCTTTGGAAAGTGCTCAGAAAAATCATCTAAGCCAGGATCAGAAAGAATCTAATACACGTAGGTGGAGTCAAAAAGACAAAGGGACTATTTCAGGTCATCATGTAAAACAGAGCACTGAACAAGCCAAGAACAATGAGACTCAGGAAAATCACATTCCCCCTGGAAGAAAAGGTATGATTAATCTAGTCATCTTCTCTTTAAGGCTGCTTTTTAGAAAGGGGGCATATAAAGCTAAACAAGAATAAAAAAATCTCTAATTTCACTATAAAAACTGTTCAGACAGTGTTATAAGAATGATTTGGAATCACAAAAGCAAACAAATCCAATTCTTTTCTTCACCTCACCCTGTTGTGCCAAAGGCACAGTAAAATGCTCTAACTGCATCCACTGTTTTGAAACTCTTGCAATATATAGGTCCAGTTATGTAAGGCCCAGTTATGTAAATTAATGGAATTTCAGCATAAACTCTAAATTTTATTGTGGAGAAATAGTAGTTAAAAAATTTGAAGCCAGTGTTCTGTTATAAAAAACACTTTGACTTCCGCTTTCCTATTTTCCTCAAAATCTACCTGAAATTTTGCAGCCATTGTTTTATGCTGGGGTAGAATTTTTCTGGAAAGTTTGAAGCAAAATGGAAAAGGCCTTTGGGAAATAAGGTTGAAAAAATGAAGTGAGCTTATTTCTTGAACATTTTCTTGAATTTGTTTAGTTCATCATAATTCCAAAATGGTTTGGTTTAGAAACTCTGAATTTGCTTTAATCTGTTAGTGTTTGAGAGGAAGACATTGGGGAGGCAAGTTTCCATGTTTTTCAGATTTTCTAGGTTAATTTCAAGACTAGTTTTTTTTTGACTGAACCAAAATGTTCCCTTAAGTAATTAATAGATGTTTACAATCTTAATTTAAGTTTAAGAAAGTTTTCTTTCCCATCTGGAATTTATCATTTAACCAGATATACTAGACCCTTCAGATGGTAAATGTAAACTTTTATTACAATCCATAACTAAAATCCTGATTTCGTTGAAGTCAACAGCAAATCTCCTATTGTCTTCAGTGAGGCCAGGATTTCATCCATAATTTTTACACCATATGCCTCCCACTGTAATGGTCTATCCTTATTAATCTATGGCATGAAATATGGGTTTATGTCAATACACAAGGTCCAATTGTCCCATTTTTCCTTCACACATATGTATTTCCTGTTCTCCATTTGACTGATATGATTTCCTCAACATTTTCAATATAAATTCCTAAAATTAGGCTCTTAAATCCATTGCACCTGCAACACCCAAAGAGTTCAGTGTAGATATTCAGTATCCCTGAAAATCAAAATATTTTATTCAGATGCCTTATAGATTTAGGAGCCTAATTTTAGACAGCTGACTTTCAAAATTTTGACTTACAAATATAATTTTGTGGGTACACTAATATCTTAATTTCCACAGTGAATAGATGTTTCCTCATGTACCTTGTCAAATACATAGTGAGATTTTAGTTATTGTTTGCCAATGTCATTCACAGAAAAGGTCTAAAGATCTAAAAGATATGGGTGTTAATGGGTTCTGGATCAGGCCCAAATTACACAGTCTAAACGCCAGTTGACCTCAATAGAAGTTTTGCCTAATAATTGAAAGATGGGACCCAAAATTTTTAACCTGTGATATCAAGGCTCATTATATAATAAATAAATAAAGTGGTTGAGCAATTAATCTATAGACAGCTGCTTTACTGAGCTATTTTACACTTTAAAATGAAAGCCTTTTAAGATTCTCCCAGAAAAAAACTTTCAGAAATCTGCAACTACAGTTTATCCTGGCTGAGCCTTCCTTCATCCCTGTCTACTGATACAGGGAAATACTTCACATGCTCAGTGGATTTTTGCATGAAAAGACTTTATTTCCATATGATAATCAGGAGCAATACATTATTAAAATCATTTATCGAGAATCTGAACTAGAATACGATAATGGGGAAAGTAATTTCATTCACTTCATTTTTCATTGTTAACCATATCTACTGCAATTTACATTTAGCCATGCTCGTAGCACTCAGAAAAGGAAAATATTTCTACTGTCCTCCCACAAAGTAGAATTTTAATTTGTTTTTACAATATTAAAGAGTTTGACTCCTAAAACTGAGAACTGAACATTTTCCCTGAATAGACTATAATGGAAATAGTACAAAGGTGTGGGTGGGATTAGAGCAAAAATAAAGCTAACAGTTATATGCCAGAATTGAAAATGGTTTTTTGAAAGAGATCTGTCAGCTACACATTTTCATCTAACACTGGATGGTTGCTGAGTACTGGAAGCCAATATTTATAGTAGTCTCTTCAGAATGGTCTATTACCTTACTCTACTACCTGATTAAAAGGAAATAATTGATTAAATGGGTATAGTTGGATTGTAAGTGACAACTGATGTAACGTTAGTAGCTTGCCTATGACCATCTTCTTGTTTTTCATTTCTGAAGAAGATATAATAAAGAAAGTACTAACTAATTCTTTGTTCAGCATCCATTCTGATGGAATTACAGTTTTAAATTACATCATTAATACAATATTCAAAATCTGAATAAAAAGTTTTACAGTCAAATATAAAAACCTTACATTATCTGATAAAACTTCTACTGAGAAACTACTAGATGCAATAATATTCCAAGTTTTCAAGTGCACTGGTACTATTAAATGTTAATTTAGGCAACCCCCTGGATGTCCAGCAATTTGGATTAGCACCCAGTGGTTTGGATATTTATCAAAGTTTTAGCCAAACTTCTGTTTTACAATGGGAAAAAATGATGGTTCAGAGAATCCAATCCCTCTTTTAATGTTGCACATTTTCACGTTTTCAAAAACTCTAAGATTAATTATACAAAGATATAAGATTGTATTTTATCTGAAAGGAGTGCATCCTCTGAATCAATATTTTCATTTTGAACATTGTATCTTAGTGTAATTGCCACTCATTTTAATAACATTGAGACTATACAGATTTGATTTAGACAAAATCAGAATCTGCCTTTGAAGTCAGACACTGGAAATATAAATTACTGGATTATCTTTTTTCAAATGAAAAATCAGGAAATGTTCAAAATAATATTGTATGTAGTGTAGTTGACAGTTTCATTTTATTTTCCCTAAAGCAAAACAGTGAGCTTTCCAGTTTTTCTTAATGATGCTAACAAGATCTGTTGTTAACTTGGTTCTTTTGGTGGGCCATTAGTAAAGTCCAAAGGGACCCTTGAATATTGTATATGTTGCCTAAATATTCTGTACTTTGCTGTAGAAGAAATCCCTATGGTGGTGGCTGAAACTGTGGAAAATAGAGGCAATCTAAAAGCTATCAGGATGGGAAGAAACACTACAGGGGATTCCGGTATTCCAGAATCATTGGAAGATGGAGACAAGGAATATTTGCACAATAAGAAAAGGTAATTATAGTGAGTAGTTCTACTGACAAAATATTTCATTAATGGAAACTTCTTTAAATACTTCTATTAACTGAAACTGAGGAGAAAAATATACACGAATTAAATTTAAGACAAATTTATGTTTTTAAGTTAATTTTTACTTGGTACTTTGATTTTATCTTCAGCCCTCAGCAGTCTGGAATTAGAGAATCTGTGACTGATATTGGTATCAAACAGGATGATAAGGTATGTTTTCAAAGATAAAATATTAGTGGTAGTATAAAGAAATAGATCCATTCCTCCCAGCAGGAAAATTCCTAATTTTCAGTACAGCTGGCTCAGGTTACGAAGGTGCACTATTCAAATGTAGGTTTCAGTATAATTGAAAAAAGTTGATTCTGCTCTGAAACAAATTTGCAAATGAAAAATAGCAATCAATGAACCCCTCAAAAGCAGGCATTACAGTGACTAGCAGCTTGTTTCATTTAATAGAGACTACATTTACTAGTTATTATAATATTTTTTAAATCTTAACTGAGTTTGGTCCTGCTCATTACCAACCATAAATATAGATTTATTGACATTGGCTGCTTTTTAGTAATTAGTATCCATTTTCTACTGATAATATCTTGAAGTCCTCATTCAAGTACAAATGCCATTGAAGTATAATATAAAAAACCACATATGTTGAGATTTCTGAAAACAACAGGTATAGTATATCTATAAAGCCAAAATTAGAGCATCTTTAAAACTGTGCAGAAGACACATCTGAGGTCCTGAGTACCACTTAAACTCGGAAATTAGAGCTCATGTGGGCCCTCTGCAGTGATGTGAGTTTTGATTGTTAGTTGAATTACTTTTGTATTATCTTATGAAAGGAATTGGACAACACAAAGGCTGCTCTTATGACTTCTGCTATACTTAGAGTAGAGCTGGCTGGAAAAAATTGAAAATTTCAATATTTGACACATTTTTACAGTTTTTCCCACTTTTTTTTTAATTTATTTTCACCCCAGCTCTACTTTACAGCAGTTTAAAGTTCTGGGTTTTTTTTAAAGGAAATGATTGTTAGTTGTCAGAAGGAACCTCACACCAGCTGGATTGTCTATGAAGAGGTACTTTTAGTACAAGTTATTTTTATACTATCATAAATTATACAGACAGTGTGTGTGAATACACATATTTACATTCTTTTTTAAATTTTATTAATGATAAAAGATAACCACACATAAATATATTTATCACTCGATGAGAAGAAAGCTACATAATAAAAAAGATTACCACAAATCTTTGAATTCAATACATTTCTCAGGGATAGTGAAAAATTCATTACAGTATCAAAGGATAACTCTTAGAAATGTATAAGAGAAATGGAAATCTCATAAAAGTTATGTGAAATGTTAATGTTCAGCTTACTCTGAAATGTGATTCTATAAAATTGGCATTGTGGAGCTTCTTGTATCTCAGTGATTTCTATATAAAATGTTCTCAGTTTACAACTAAAAAGATGTTTTTCTATCAGCCCTAAAATTCAACCTGGATTTGAGAAAGAAGCTAGGTTATTTTCTTCTCATGCATCATCACCAGAAATTAAAGTTCTTTAGGCTAAATTCTGCCATCAGATTTACCTCTGCAACCCTACTGCTTTCTTTTGGTTTGCAGAGGTCTGCCTGACTGGAGCTTAGTAAACATTTATTTTGATGACACACAAAAAGAAAGCTAAGTCAAAGTCAGACCTCCCATTCACCCGTGCATTCTTACTGGGCAGCATAGATTAAGGAGATGGCTGAGTTTGGCCCCTCGTGCATATTAAATTAATTAGAAATGTTTCTCCAAATACAGTACAAGTATTCAAGGGTGAATATTATGCATTTATATACTTTTCATTTGCCTCTAGACAGATAAGAATAACATAAATCGTCTTGAGTATTCAAGTCAATACATTTCTCCTCCTCCTCCACCGTCTCTTTCTATAAACAGATCTCAAGTTCCCATATTTCAGACAGAGAGTAAGTATATGCTTCCAAGAAATTACAAGGAATTGAACCTTTATTCAAGATGTGAGTGTTTATTTAAAAAGGTGAATTTATAATTTATGGAGCACTCCTGGAGTCGGCACTGTGTACCAGATCACACCCGACAGCTGAGATAGGCAGGGGAATGCCTAGTCCATGAATCTCCCTGGTGCTCAGGTGTGAGCTAGGAGCTGAACTGCTCAGCACCATCAGAATGTAGATGGCTTTGCACATGCCCCAAGACACTTAGGGGATTCTAAGAGTGGAAACTTAGGCATCTATAGGATTAGGTGGCAGCTGGGCAGTGGTTCTGTGAATGCCCCTGGCATCTAAATGTTGGACTTAGGTGCCTAAAAAGGCAGTTTGGTGCCTAAGTCCCCTTTCTGAATCTAGCCCCTAGTCACTAACTAACCATTTTGTTGCAGTATATTTAGCAAAATGCTTTCAGCAGGAAATAGCGCTCTTGAGTTTTTGGGTATCTGGCAGCAGTTTTCTACACATGTAATATGTTTCCCGTGCCTTCCCTTTTAAATATAGTTTTAGTGATGTATATGCATTTAATATGGATATTAGTTCTAATTCATTTGTGCATTTATAAATGACTGGGTGCATTCTGCATTTATATAACCCTTTTCTGAAGCATCAAGTAGTGGCCAGTGTTAGAGATAGTATACTGGACTGTGGGAATCCCTACTCTGTGTTCCTGCAAGGGACGCAAACTGAAAAAGTTGGGCATGCTATATGGTACATGCACTTCACTGAGACATAACTATGGCTGGCCTTTTCCACTTTTAGCACCCAGAACTTTACTAAGTGTAGATTGTAATTTCTTTAGAAAGCAAGATGGTTGAACAACTGAAACAAATGAAGGCAGAAAGAAGGCACATGGAAAGAACTAGAGAGGAACTGGTTAAAAAAGCCAAAGGTTTGCTTGAACAAAATAAGCTGAGGAGATATCATGGTATGTTCTTCAATTGTATCATAACTGTGTGAAAGTAAATGTGAAACTTTTTATCTGCCTATGTCTATGTAGTGTTATAGTATATGCTTAATTACAGCTGGATAAACAATACCTCTCAAAAGGCTCATTTGTATGACTAAGTATGGTAGAGAGGTTGAGGACTAAAATGTCTGCTCCCATTGATGCTCAGTAGTACTCCCATAAATATCTATGTCCCTGGATAGTATGAACCGTAGCACTGTTATGTTACTTGTAGAAGTACAGTATTCAGAAGGCATCCATAAACCACATCATGGTACCAAGCTCACAATGAGTTAAACATTCCAAAGTGCTGTTTTTAGGAATGGTACATGAGGGCATGATAGAAAACTTGTCTACTACAACACATACAATTATTAGCGGCACCCAGATACACCTCTATTTTATTCCATGAAATAACTGGTGACAAAACTTATTTTTCTATAATAACAGATAAAACCTATAGAAACAAAATGTGTACAGAACACAAACTTCTCTGAAAACCAGATCTGCTCCTTGGGCAGGGCCCATGCTTTCTTTTGTGCTTGTACACATAAAACATCTTAATTCTTTTCCCTTTCAATTGTTTAAATGATAAATTAATTCTCAAGACAAAAATATGGTAAGTACCTTAGGGGAAAACAAGCAATATAGCAGGGGTAGGCAACCTATGGCAAGCGTGCCAAAGGCGGCATGCGAGCTGATTTTCAGTGGCACTCACACTGCCCGGGTCCTGGCCACCGGTCCGGGGGGCTCTGCATTTTAATTTAATTTTAAATGAAGCTTCTTAAACATTTTAAAAACCTTATTTACTTTACATACAACAATAGTTTAGTTATATATTATAGACTTATAGAAAGAGACCTTCTAAAAATGTTAAAATGTATTACTAGCACGCGAAACCTTAATTTAGAGTGAATAAATGAAGACTCGGCACACCACTTCTGAAAGTTTGCTGACCCCTGCAATATAGTAATGCTCCATTTCAGAGGTGTCAGGCAGAATGAAAAGAGCTCTGGACAAATATGGATTCTATGAGAACCACACAGGGAACCTTAATGAGTCACATGCATCTCTACAGCCATATGTTGAGTGTCACTGCCCAGAATGGTTAAATAGCACAGATACCTGACTGATCTATGGAGAAACGACAATATACAGTAACCTGCAACCTACATTATACAAAAGTCTCAGTGGACAACTGAAAACTTCAACTCCTGTTGGGCTGCTTTCCCCCAGTCATAGAGTCAACGGTCATCCACACGCCTGGTTGGTTTTTCATACTAGGGACTTCACATTTCCAGTAGAGTCCTGTCATTCCAGTTGTCAACAGCCCCAAGAGTTTTCACCAAGTGCCTTGTGGTAGGCATTTTTAAGATTACAGAGTATTCATGTTTACCTTACCTCAAAGACTGGCTCATTTAAGGAACCTCTCCTCAGCAGGTCTCAGACAACATCCATTATATCCTTGCACTCTTTGCCACATCAGGGGTCAGGGTAAGCAAGAAGAAATCACCTGACCTTTCCAAAAGACGGAATTTGTAGGAGCACAACAGCATACTTACTGTCCATTAACTGTGAAGTTGTGGCAGAGCTTATGAGTCAGTTACAGAGCAATCCTCAGACAACAGTACAGGAATGTCTAAGAATGCTAGATTACATGCATTGTGCATGTTTGTCACTCCTCATGCCTTGTTGTATTCAAGGCTAGTTGAAGTCGAGCTACCTATCAAGCAAACGCCACATAGATATGGCAGTGCAGATACCTCAGGAGGTCCTATTATCACGAGATTGGTGGAAGGATCCTATTCAAGTATGCAGAAATGCTCAATTTTCTTCTCCTCTATCCACAGTAATGCTAGTAATGGATGCTTCCAACCTCAGATGGGGAGTGCACTTGAATCAACATCAGACTCAGGGACTTTGGCCAAGAGACAAGTCTCATCTTTCCATAAATATCTTAGAACTGAGAAAAATTTGTTTAACATATATGACATTCCATCCTCTAATCCATGGTAAAACAATACAGGCATGACAAACATCTTGGCGATGTTTTACGTAAACAGACAAGGAGGAACAGATCATTTCCACTATGCCAGGGAGCTGTTCACATATGGAACTGGTGCATCTGACATCAGATTGCCCTGACAGCCATTCACCTTCCAGGATTAATATCCTAGCAGGTCACGTGAGCAGACACTCGTCCTTTAATGATGAATGGTCCATAAAGTATTCAGTCAATCACAGATCTTTCACAAATGGGATCACCCAGCCATAGACTTGTTTGCCATGGAGTCAAACAAGAAATGCCATACCTTTTATTTCAGAAGGGAGTCTGAGTCCAGGATCTCTATTGGACACTTTTCCTCAGCTCATCTCCTGGGCTGACTTACATCTATCCACTGATTCCTCTAATTCTGAGGACAGTGTGGAAACTCAGACGAGATGGTGCCACATAGCTATTGCTAGCAACCTCTTGGTGCAGGTAGTTATAGTTCTCAGACCCTTAAAGATTCTTAGTATAACCTCCAATAACATTACCCCTGGATCTGGACATAATCTCCCAAACAATGGGAAGACACTCCATCCAGATCCACTTTCTCTGTACCTTACAGCCTAGATGCTGGCTGCCTGACTAATATAGAGAAATCATGTTCCAAAGCTGTCCAGAACATCTTGATTCACAGCAGGAATGACTTGACAAAGCTCACTTATGCCAAATGGAAAAGATTCACTCTTTGGGCAGAACAACATCAACTCTCCCACTCATTCCCATGATTTAAAATCTATGCTGATTAAAGAGATCTGAATTCACTATTAAAAGAGTACACTTAGCAACTATCTCCACTTACCAGTCTCCAATTCACACCCACAGTATATTCTCACATCCTACAGTGTCTACATGCCTCACAGAATTAATATATATATTCCCTCCTGTATGGGAGCTACCTCCCTCCTAAGATTGCGCTGTGGCTTTAGCTTGGTTGATGGGGGCTTCCATTTGAACCATTAGCATCATGTTCTTTATACTACCTTTCTGTGAAAACCGCTTTCTTAGTGCCAATTACCCCAACATGTAGAGTAGGAGACCTACAAGCAGTCATGACAGGGCCATCATACACTAGTTTTGATAAGGTTAAGGTCTCCTTTAAACCCCAGCCAAAATTTGTTCCTAACATAGTTTCAGATTTTCACTTAAACTGGACTACTGTATTTACATACCTGTTTTCTCCCTGAAACCCCTTTCTAATAATAATAAGAAAAGGCTTTACTCCCTGGACGTATCAAAACTTTTCTTTTTAGTTAAAGAGAACTAAAGGAGGCATGCACAGGCCAACAAACACTGTTGGGCAAAAGAGTCCAATCCTGAACGCATAAAGCACATGCAACTCATGGACTGCTAGATTCACAAAGGAGTGTAGGTGTGGAAATGGTCAGCATCAAACACCTGCCCCCAACTTTTAGGTGCCTAGAAAATCACTGGGATTCACAAAGCCTGAGTGAGTCACCTATGTTCCCTATACAATGAATGGGGCTAGATAGGCACCTTAGAATGGGATTCACAAAAGCCAACATGCTAGGTGGCTCCCCGCCTAAGCTAGCCAATGAGAGCTGCCAAGATGAGGGGTATGTCCTAAGCCCCACTTCTCTCAGGGAGTTTCACATCTAAGTCCAGACTTCAGGGAAGCACTTCCATCTGCTTGGGATTCTTGAGTTCAAACCCCCTCTTGGCATTAGATTACCTGGCTTATGGGAGAAACCCACCTCAAGTCCCCCTTCACCTGCAATGAAAGAAAGGATTTGAATAGGGAATCTACTACTTGTTGGAGGAGGTGGCCTAAACATTGGGCTAGAGACTATACTGATGTGGGGGGTTTCCTCAGCCTCTCCTGTTGAAACATTCCACTGTGAAAAATAATGAAAGCGTCATTGGACCAACGAGAAAGAAAGTATGAGTCTGATGCTTGTGGCCGGTGCATTTATCAAGGAGATGGGGAAACCCAAAATCCAGTTCCCCAGCTCCAATGAAATGGAGGGAGCCCTCCCCCTCCCACCCAACACACACGTCCACCTAGGGCACTCACCTGAGAAGTAGTAGACGTGTTCAAATTCCTTCTTTTTCTCAGGTAGAAGGGATACTTGGGGGATCTCCCACAACCCCAGTGAATACCCTATTGTGCAAAAAGCTATGTGGAAGGGAGTTCCTCCTTCCCCAGCCAGTTTGTGTGAACTGGCCTGTGGGGGCCCAATCTGATGGATGTCCTCTGAGCCCACTTACTGGATTGTCCCTGCAGGTGAGTTAGGCAGAGGACCCCCTAGCTTCCCCTCGTTCATGCCTCACACTGGAGCTTAGACATGTGGACACCTAGAATGAGGCTGTAGCACATAGGCTGCTAGGGACCTTTTACTGCAAAAATGTAGGTGCCAAATGCATTTAGGTGACTTCAGGATTTGACATCAGTAGAGCAGGGGTTTTGTGCACCCCAGTGGGGCCTGATTCTAGGATGTAGGCACTTAACCTGGCACTTAGGTACCTAAGTCCTTTTGTGACTCTAGCCCCCAGAGTGGATTATATGTAGACAACACATCTAAAAGACCCTCAGTTACTTTAAGGTAAATAATGTTTGCAGAAAGTTTTCTATTAATCTTAGGCATTCTGCCAGGAACAGCTTTAGCATGAGATTATGGGGGTCATTTGCCCCCCCCCCAAATCATAACATTGGGTGCCAAACCTGAGTGGAACTACAACCCTGTGTACCAGGTGACAATGCCCAGTGCTGGGAGCCAGGCCCAGCCCTGCAGGACAGGAGCTGCTGCTGCAGGGATAGGGTAGGCTAGTTCTCCAGACAATTCCATCCTCCCCCCTGCCCTCCCCTTTGCACCTGGCTGGAATTAGGGTTGCAGTACTGGGGCAGAGAGTGCTCCTGCTGATGGTCAGTGTCCCCCCTTGATGACACCATATTGCACCCACTGAGTCAGGAGGCTGCATCCACCCCTGAATTCTGCTCAAGAACTCTGGACCTGTGGCGTTCCCCGGCTCTGCATAACACATGCTTCTAGTTCTCTTTAGCGCTGGACCTGCAGAACTAATAAACTTTGCAAACCTAGCTCTCTTTTGTACAGCTTAGTCGTGCAGCGCTGCAAAGCTCCACAGGACTGGAACTCTGGTCCTACAGCGTTCCTGCTGGAGCTTCAGTCAAACCTTAGAGGACAGATCTAGCCTTTAATTTTAGTTGGCTGGGGTCCAGCTAATCCTGATGTGACTGTATAGTTAATGTAATGTTTAGTTTAGGTAAACATTCATTGATTTTAAAAAACAATGCTACATTTTTCATACATGTCTAAACCACTGAAGTTGAAGCACACTACACAAGTACTGTGTGCTGTTCATTATTATTATTCCTAATTTACTGTATATTAACCTGATCAAGAACAAACAGAGATGTTGTTGTCCTGTGTAGCTCGTGATGCATGGAAAAAGAAATATTTTGAAACTAAGAAAGCTACAGCTTCATTGGAGGACATTTTAAATAAACTGCGACAAGATGTAGAGCTTTACTATCAAAAGTTACTGTTGCAGCTGGAAGCCAGAGATATCAGGAAACGGCCAAACAATTTAACACACATTGCAAACGCCAAGGTAATATCATTTGTTCATATTTGTCAATTCCTTTCTCTCTTTCCATGAAATTTGGCTTCTGTATAGAGTATAAATTGTAAGAACAAATTTACCACCATAATCCAGAGATTCCAAACGTTAGTAATTGTTTCCATAGATTCATAGATTCTAGGACTGGAAGGGACCTCGAGAGGTCATCGAGTCCAGTCCCCTGCCCGCATGACAGGACCAAATACTGTCT